TTCATTTCCTAAGCAGAAATGGCAAAAATAATAGGAAAAAAAAAACCAAAAAAAACCACAACCAAACAAGAAAGACAAAAATATTCTGAAGGAATAAAGATTCTGAGGTATCTAGATAGGTACCTAGAAATTCAGGAGGCTATCTTGAAAAAACGTGAAAGCAACAGTCCTAAGGAGAAAAATAAGAGAAACCTTACTGGACTCAAAACATCCATCTGTTAAGCTAGAGAAAGATGACACACCACAAATGCCATTTACCAAACTGATCTGTGGAATATAAGGTTTTGTGGCCTTCAGCAGTGTTCACCTAATTAACAAATGAGAAGACAAATTAAGATGACTTTTCAGCCTTTTTCATTATGGCAAAAAACTGCCATGTAGAAATAAAGTGGTCTGTTCCCTGAAAAAGGTGTCTATAACCAACTGCATGTTCCCAAAAACACCGTGCCAGCAACATTAAAGCAAGAAGGATCATCACAAGACAATACCAAACTCCTCTGCAAACTCCACAGCAACCAAGTAGCTCTGCAGATAGCATCACTGTTCCCAGTAAAAGCTCTGAAGTTTGAAGAGCATCTTCTCCAGAACAGTCGGGAGGTACTGCTTCCAAAGAGTCTTTAAAATGGCAGACTTTAGCGCTGCTAGACCAGCACAGACCATATGTAAGTAGAAACTAGCTATGGAGTCATGCTCAGCTTGGCACTGTGAAACACTATCATCTGGAAGAACTACAGTTCTTTGTAGTGAACCAAATAATTATTTTGCCCTAATACTGAGAACCAGGTAACACGATCCCCATCCCCACTCCCACCTCCTTCATCCTGGTCTAGGTGCCTCACCTGAAAAATAGTGAGGTCTATCAAAAGTCACTGTGAAGCAGACTTAATTGCTACCAGCCAATGCCAGGACAAACTGGTCTTCCACAGTTCCTTACTGTCTCTCCATTATTTCTAGGGAATTGTCCTGAGAAAAACAAGTGGAAAAGTGAGCATTCATTTAGGGCATGCTTCTCTCTGAGCAGTATATCTAGCATGGCTAGTGATCAACAGCTGCAACAATAAAATTCCTGGTGCCTACCATTCTGTGTCTTGTAGACTTAAGCTCCAGTATATTTTATTTCAGTAATACACCAGAAGTATGGAGTAACATAAAAACAGTAATATACTTTAATACTCAATCAACATACATTGTATCATACCATACTAAGAGACAACAGAGGCCAGGCTGTCACAAAAATACAGGCACTACTAGTATTTTCTTTTAGATTACAGGAAATTAGAAAAGTTGAAAGCAGATGTGGAACAGGCATACAGCCCCCTCATTCAGCTACTATAGTCTGAAGGTTATGAGAGGTACAAGAACAATAAAAACAAACTATTTTGAATAGTATCCATGTGCATGGGCCCATCTGTACCAGCAGTGTAACTACCAGAAGACTTAATATTAATTTTTATTTTCATATATGTACAACTTAAGAAACAAATCTCAACTTGAAAAACTTTAGAAGTTATCTTTCAACAACACAATGCAGACATACCTCTGAGGCAGCAAATATTACTCCTATTAAGGCTCTTTTGAAAGTATGGATATCATGCAAATGCAATTAAAGAGTACATTACATTTCAAAATATGCAAACCAAGTTCAACTTTAACGCTTTCAAGAAAAGAACATATCAAAGATTATAACTGTGACCCACCAAAGCATTTACATACATGCTTGAAGCTAAGTACATGGACTATACAAACTTAGGTAAAATGTAACAACTGTCAAGCTATCTTAACCAGATCAGAACTACAGTCAGTGACGAGTCCCCTCCTGCATCACAAGTGCCAATGTCTGCACCAACCGTTTCACTTTACATTCACGTAAACTGCTGCTGACCATGAAATTCCATATGCTCTTTCAGTCTGTAAGGCCCACTTTTAGCTTTGGCATTAATTTGCGATCACTGAAACATCTTAATCCCTCCACTGAACTTGAGGAAGAGGCATGCACAGAAAGCATCTGTACCATAGCAGTGCACAGCAGGAAATGCAGATGCTGCAGGAGCTGCTTAACAGAAGTTACTTCCATCGGGCATTTGGGAAGATTCTGATTAATTTCCCTATACTGTATCCCTTGTTTATGATCTCAAGAGTGAAAGCTGGGGCTTTTTTAAATGATAACGAGCATTAGCACTAAATCAAACAAGCAATGCTAATCTACAAGAACAAATTCTACTTAATATTTTATTATAGTAATTCTAATTGTGCAAACAGTATCTAAAGATGGTCTAATATTACCAGCAAGGGGAAAGCTTAATTCCTTTGCTGTGTCATTAGAATAAATTGAAACTAAATATAATGATGGTCAGCTGTGTGACTTTTTTGTTGTCACTAACATAGGTAAAAAATTAAAGAGCTGATAATTTGGAAGTGATGAGTACGTGAAAAGAAAAAGAATACAACTGTTGTGGCCTCTCCCAGAACATTACATGCACTGCCTGACACGTGAAAGGTACTAGATGACTACTTTTTCTTTCTTCAAGCCTAACAGTAACATAATCAAATCTTAATTGTCTACTCAAAAGGAAACAGGTTGGGTTTTTTCATAATTTTATATCACAATTTTTTGACAACTATCAAATTGCCTAAAGGCCCAGACTTTTTTAGAAGCTTTTTATCACATAACATTCAGTGCTTACAAATTTCTTACACACAGTATTCCTCACCTAAGAAAGTAGCCATTAAGAGTAGGAAGATTGCTTTATTTAAATCCATCTAATTTTAAGTCACAGCAGCATATCGTTTAGATACAGCTAGGCACACAGTGTGTGTATCTACAACTAGAAGAACAAAAATGGAAAAGAAAGATCTATTTTACTCTATCCTGACCAGCAGCTGTTAGCAATTTTCTTTAGTTATCACTGTGGGACATGATGGATGGGAAGGCTCAATATGCTGAGGAGCTAGTATATAGTGCACAAGTGCTCTCATGGACTGTTGTTCAACAGCACGCTCAGTTGAACTAGAAGTTACAGACTGTAAGAGATAACAGGTAGTTCCTGGGAGTATCTATCATGCTTCAGAAAAGCTATCTGATCAAGAGGGTAACATCTGGAAGAACAATTGCACGATCCTTTGCTATATAGCTAGTATAGCACATGATTGAAGGAGCTGAGAAGTGAACATGAATTCAGGTGGTAACTGAAAACAAGAAATATGCATAAAAGAACAAGTTATTACCATTTAAGACTTTCCATACACTTTGCAACAGAGGGAAACTGGGTACACAGAAACATGCAAGTGAAACAAAGCTAATCTACAATAAACAAAAACAGAACACAACTTATTTCAAGAGTTCAAACATTAAAATATTCACCCAGTGCTAAACAGGAGCAACAGAATAAGGTCTAGACAGTGCCATGTAATTAAACAAAAATTCATTTGGCTCTTCCAACCTTTATCTCCCTCCTCTTTCTACTGTTTTTATAATTTCAGGCCATAAACTTACTGAATGACATGGGAGTAAAAAAGAAAATGTAAATAACCCATCTTCCTCTCTCCGTTAAAAACAACCCTCCAGGGGTTCATTATTATCTATGTATGTAGCATGGCCCTTTTCCAGCCTATAATTACATGGGATGTCTTTCTCCTAAGGATAAAGCAGGATGTCAACTACTCTAATACCAAAAATATTATTGGAAAAGACATCCTTTTTTCTGAGCAGACCTACCCCATCCAGGTTTAAAAGCATGTGATGACACCTACTAATAACCTTCTGTCTGAAAACTGTGCCTTATCATTATTAGATGTAGCTGTCAACAAAGATTAATCTCAAGAGATTAATGCCCTTTTTTTCTTACACTTGAAGTCTTACAATTAAAAAGCCCAGTGAAATAACTTGGTCCCCAAACAAAAGCCCCATTCCAAAATACAAAATGAAATTATTAATCCTTCAAAATGCTCAACCAAGTCATCACACCCATTGTGCCCCAAACTTTAAACATGGACTATCAAGAAAGGCTGGAAATGACTCATCAAGCTTACAGAGATTGATCCCAGAAAAATTCGAAGGCATTCCAAAATATTTCAATTTACATGAAAGAATAGGGGCAGAACTCTGTCCTAAGACTTAAGAACTTTTTATAAAGTCCTGAATTTTACAGATACAGAAGGCAGCTAGTACGAAGCATGAAATACGAGTTTAAAAGAGATTTTTTTCATATCTAAACCCAGAAGAAAGCAAACTGCACTAGAAGAAATTTACAAGTAGTCTTCAATGGAAGTACCACATAAAGCAGACTGCATTCATCTTGACTTGGCATTATGAGGGCGTATCTCACTGTAGAAGGTCCATAGTAAACATCAGATATGAGATGGAAGATTGAAGTACAGCATGAGATGTCACTGTCACTGTTCTACTGATTCAGGAAAGGAAGACTCCAAGGAGAGCAGAAAGTATGAACCTGCTTAATAAAGGCTATTCTTGCAAAGTCAAAAATTCACACATTCAAGACTTTCATCCCTTCGTTAAAATAGAAATACTAGAAAGGAGCACTCAGTAACATATCCCCTTTGCTTCTGACTGACACATTGAATCAAAGGTAAAAGCAGAAAGTTAGCAGAGATAATTAGAGCAACAAGGATCTTTTAGCACAAGGCAGAAGAGCTGAGCAACCTACCAACCAGAAGACAAATGATACTGTTTATTACTTAACAAAGCTATTAGTTGACAACTTCAGTTTATTAGGCATAGAAAAGTTTTCCTCTAGAGGTCATTCTGAAAAACACCTCACCCTGTATTTGAGCAGGTATGAAGCCCACTATAATTAAGTTACATAAAATTTTAAGTATCTGCTCACTTTCCTTCTTAATACTTCATAGAAAAATGTCATTTTAATGCTGACGGCAAACAAGGATGTCAGTCTAATTAGATGTTATTGTTCTGTCATGCTCCTGGATCCTATCTAAGCACTCCTCTGAAAAAAAAAAACAAACTAATCAATGATGAAGGCACAATTATACAACCCTTAACATTCACTCGAAACGTAGCTATGCAAAAAAGGGTGAGACGGTAGGGGAAACAAAGGGGAAGTATATTTCTCTTCAAATAATTAAGTCACTTTATTTTCCAACAGCCATAAAAATTTAAAATATTAAACAACAATAGTACAGCTATAGAATCTAGGTTTTTCTTCAAAGCAGCAGCATATAAAAGCTAAAACCTCAGCACAAGCTTCAAAAAACAAGGACTGAGTGAATTTTGCCAAAGACATAAAACTCACAAAATACAGTTCACAAAAATACTGGAATGCATAAGATATAAAAATACACATTTTAGGGAAAAAGAAATACACTGAAAAGTATACAAAATTTGCAAAATTAAACCATGGGATTTGGAGGAGAGTACCATGAATACAAAGAAGTTGGCAATTAACACTTGTAGATGGAGAGAAGTGGCAGTTCTACACTTAGCATTCAGCTTTCAGGTTCACGATTTCACTTTCTTAGCATCTTTTTTTCCAGAGTTCTCAGTAGCCACATCTGCTTTTCTCTTCTGAGACTAGAAAGGGGAAAAAATTTATAAATTAAACAAAACTGTGGCATCATTAAAAAGTAATAATAATTTTAAGTACATGATTAACTATTACAAAAGAAGTTAAGTGACCCTTATGTATTATATATTTGATTTAGGCTTTGTGGAATCTAATGGAAAGGTAAACAAAAATCCAAGATTTAGACACTTAATACTGCTACCTCTTAAATCCTCTTAAATTCCTCACATCGTCTCACTGGTACAAGTACCAAACATACCATGAATTGGATGAAAAGATCAGGACCTTGACTTATATACAATTCTGTTCTAAAGATGACAACTCTTCAAAATAAAAGAAGCACTTCTTATAATTTATTCTTCCAGGAACTACTATGCAGGGGAGGAATAACCATCTAAGATTAAATTTAAACAAACATATGATGTACAGGTATAGGTAGAAAGAGGGCTATTCTATGTTTTCTTAGAGTCTTCCTCTGCTAATTAAACAAAAGATGATTTGGGAATAGCTATATAAAATCTAGGAGAGTTGTGAACAGACAAATATTTCAGTTTAATCTCTCAGCTAATAGTTTATATTAAAATAGTGACTACAATTATTTTTTCATTTTCTAACAAAATATAATTTAATTCTGCCCTGCTAGAATTAAGTGCTGATAAACATACTGCTGTGACTTTTGCCCCTCTTTTCTTCTTTTCAGCTCTTTCTTTTTCCTCAATTTCCATGTTTTCTTTTTCTATTAATGATATCAGAGTATTGCAGCGTCTCTGAAACTCCTAAGGAAAGAGAAAACATCAAATTATCTAAATACATTATACAAATCCTTCCATTTACATAACTATGTTCAAAAGTCTTTAATTCCATACTCAGATTTTCAAAAAACATTCAATATTCATATACTAAAATCAGCTTAGTTATTGTTCATCTGCCTTTACCTTAGTGCAACCTTCTTTACAAACAGTGAAAAAAGATCTGCATGATAAATCCTGCAGTGAAATTTCCATATGGACTGACCCATTCAATTTTATTGCAATAAAAATATACTTTAGGAGTTTAAAATGCCTTGTACCTTTAGAGATGAGATTTTTTTCAGTATGGCCTGATACTTTTCACTTTAGGATGGAAAGAGATAAGATGTATTTTGCTCACCCCTTCATAGCTATAAAGACTAGTATTGCAATAAATAAGATGGGAGCACTGAACCATCACTTTCTGCATGACTGAAGGTAGAGATGCTGACTTGGGAGTGAAAGTAGTCCTAAGCTCTGTCAACAGGCCTGTATATTCCTGTATTTACAAAGGAGTCATTTGTTTTATAATGGGTAGGGTTTACAGAAAGGTAAAAGAGAATATGCATAATTTATGACTTCAGAAAACAGAAACACGATTCACTGCTGCCACGGTATTTTGTATTCATCCTGCCTGACAGAAATAAAAAACAAATTACAATTAAACTTAAAAATTTAAACTGCTGTGCCCAGAGGATAAAAAAAGTTACAACTGTAGGCAGTCTCAGGCTCTTTGAAAATGTACATTTAGGGTAAAGCATCTGGTTTTGGAATAAATAAATTAAGCAGAATTTGTATTTTTCAAAGAGAAATCTGCAGAAGGAAAAGCAAAAATCAGAAGATGGAAGATAAATTAGCTATTTCTGTGGAATTCAAGAGACATCTAGTGGTTAGTAGAACACAAAGCTTTCTCAACTTGGTAAGCACTTTTCAGACTTACATTGCCCTTTCTATCTTGTTTTGTATCAGTTTGAATGTAATAAAGAGTAATTTTGAGATCACATGTGAATCACTTTAACTGAACTCTACCATTTTCCCCCTTTATAAAGACTTGTATTTATACTTGGTTCTTTGTTCCCAGTACCAAGTGACTTTCCAGCATGTTTCTTCACAAGAATTACCAGGCTAGGGCAAAACAGACCCATAGAAATTAACACTTGCACAAATGTCAGGATATTTTAACACATAAAAGCCATACAGGCAATCACTAAATCATAACTTGAAACATTTCAGAGAACCAAACACACATTAAAGGTGAAAAATTGCTTTGGCTTTGTATTTCCATACAATTATTTTTCAACTGTGTAATAGCAGAAAAACTAAAAATATTAATGGATAGAATTTTAAAAGAAAACATAAGCCAACAGATTCACTGTGTTCCCAGTGCCTCAATCTCAGCATTAGACACCACAGAACATATTTCTACACTTCAGCAAATTATTCCTATCCCCTTTTAAAAGTCATGCTGAGCATAAGGATCTGCAAGAAGTTGTAAATTGAATATTCTACTCTAGCCCTGACTTAACTACACATTCACTCATATTAAACAATGAGCTACATTTTTGATTTCTAGTGCACAATTCTATTTAAATGGATTTCTCCACAGAAAATTAAAAAACTTCATAACAGACTAAACATTGGAGACTTTTCTCTTTATGAACATAATTTTCAAATCCAGTATTTCTTCAGACATTTTAGCAAGTAAACCTTGCAGTTCTTTTTCATTAAGAGATAATGCTGCACTATTCAAAGACACTAATTGCTGAAATATCAAGTTGAAACTGTTCTGCATAATTATAAGTAGCACTGGGAAAACATTCCCACCTGTTCAAATACACATTTTACATTTTATCTTATATTTTACTTATTCTTACTACAGCATCCAGAACTCTGAAAGAACAAAGATGGGAAGCAGCAGTGCCCAGTGGCTCTGCAATTGCTGCAATAAGCTACTATAAAAATCCAGATTCTTATACGAAACCACACTGAAGTTACATGACTGCAGCATAACATTTCATTAGAAATAAGTTTACAAGACAAGTGGCATAATCTATGACAACTGTGTGCTTCAACCTTTTGTATCAGCCATGGCCAATACAGTTCTGGATTCAAACAGACCAAAATGCTCCAGCTCTCAGTTCTCACAAATTAGTTAGATTAAGTTATTTCCAGTATATAATAAAAGTGGAAGTACATGTTTCCCATATAAATACATTCACATGAAAATACATGTGTATGTTTCTTATGTAAGGTGCACACACTTCTTAATTTTACTCATATGAAAAAGGAACTGAATCAGGAGAGATTTGAGCAAAAATTCAGGGCAGAGCTAATAATTTATCATTAACGAGTTCCATATTTCTGAGACTGGCACTTACATAGCTTACTATTTGCAACCACCAAAACTTATGTTGGTATTATCACTTCCTACTTCATGACTAAACTAAAAAATGACTCCCTCTTCAGACAGAGAAAGGGGAAAAGAAACACAGCTAACATTCAGAGTACTAGCCTACTTGCTATCAAACTTGTATTATATTATCTATGTATGAACAAAATCTTCAGAAAAATAGAACTAAAAAAAATTAAGTACTTGCACATCATAATCTTTATTCACGACTAGAAAGTGAATTTTAAACCAACCGCTTCAGTGATTAAGTCTTACATGAATTATTAAACCTCCTCATACTTTTAGGAATTACGTAACAATACTAGAAAACCTGATTTTGCCTCCCAGTATATAATTCAAGTGCTTCCAGTCTTTAATACTGTCCAGTAATTCTGAAAAGCAGTTTTATTTCCAAAGACATTGTTTGGTAATACTTCTGGTTTGCAATAAAAGTTACAAGGATAGACTCTGTGTTAATCCCTTTGGGTAACATGGGACGTCAGCTTGGCAAGTTTTCTAATCTGTTTCACTTGTATTGTGTTGTTTGCTGTACTAAGGGAAAAGGGTATTTTATTTAAAAAAAATAGATACTAGAATAAAAGTTATTCTTTCAGCACTTGTTTCTTAGACTCCAATATTCTAGCATAAATCCAAATATTGGTGCTTAAAAATGTAAAAAGATATTTCATATAATGACATAGTCCATGCAACTGACACCTACCATTGCAGTTCTAGATTTGATAAACCAGTCAAATCTGAACTGAGGAGCGTTGCGCACACACTGCCTGAGCTCCTCATACACATTTTCTTTGTCAAAGCCCATCTTGTGTAACATGCATATCAAAAATCTGTCTTCCTCTTCTGTGTAATTTTTCCCTTTGTTTGTTCCGTACTGAATACGCAGCTGATGAAAAGGTGCTTTATACCTTGCAATCTGGATGGAGAATAAACATAAAGACCATTAAACATACAATATTACAGCAAGGATTTATTACATGTCAGTGTAGCTTACAGTATACCACATACGCTATATAAAAACACAGAACTCCCATCCCCAACTATTCCTTCTCTGAAGGAAGGCAGAAGAGGACAGCTAGAGAAAAGCCTGCAACAATTACTTTGGCATCAAGGGCTTTCTTGATACTGATTCGCCGTTGGATTCTTGCCTCTCCTCGTTCAATTTGAGCCATAATCCTCTCAATGTCCTGTAGTTCATTACAGCGTTCCCAGAAAACAGCTAGAAATGCAAAACATAACTTGTGAAATAAAATCTCTCTGCTACTTTAATCAGATGAGGTACTCCAGAAAAAAAAAATATTATGCCGTTTGTTGTTGCATTAAATCTTAAAAGACTTGCTAATAATCTCCCTTTCACTATACTAGCCAAAAAATAAACTTGCACACACCCTTTATTCAGGGCCTTCAAAAGTTATTTTTTTTAAAAAAAAGTTTTATTAACAACTGTAACATTCAATGTAATTAATGGTAATTATGTAAAATTCTGAAAAAAGTTACTTTTAAGGACAGCTTTCCTAACAATGGTGAAATAACTTCAGAGCTGCTAGTCCAGTAGTGAAACATTCACATTTCAGTTTTCACTACATAATGCTAAGGTCAGAAACTACTTTGTCTGTTATAAAAACTAGTCATCCTTGACTTCCCCACTGACATCTTTAAGCCAACTCAAAATAAATCCAAAACTTTGAAGGGAGGTCTTGCAGAACTCTTCCTTTTTAAGTTATTGAAAGAACATGTCAAAATTAAATTTTATGAAGTTGCTCAGTAAAATTAAATCCAAGGATGAAAGGGGAAGAATTCTATACAAATTAAAAAGCACTGTAGAAATACAGAAGCCAGTGTACTAGCTAAAACAGTACATGCACTCACAGCATAAAGAATCATGTTGCCAATGTAAGGCAACTTCATGATTCCACAAGTCCATTTTGTCAATGTAAATTAACTTTGCCAAGTTATAAATTTTGACTAAGGAGGGATAGAGGCAGCTGAAGGCATATTTATATGCTGCAAACTCAACCTTTTTAATCGATTTTAGTATTCTGAAAACAACCATCGTGTACTTTAAAAAACATATTCTCATACACATCGAAATTCTACATCATGTAATTTTGAAAGAACATGTAGCAAATATGATGGTGATACCACATGATTAAGAAATATATTTCCTAATATCACAAACCTGAATACTCAATGACCTCCTCAGGTGATTTACCCTCCACCTCACGGGCAATATTGTCTATATCATCACGACCATATTTCTCATTAGCTTTGATAAACTGGTTAAAATCTCTTTTATTCCAGTTTGTAAAGCCCTGTAAATAGCAAGAGATGAAGAAGGCATTACTAAGTAGAAGGAAAACATTTGACAAAATTTTGTCCTAGGTATTTATCATCTGCTCCAATTGACGATGCCTCTGCAATGTCACATGATTACAGGGGTTAATGGTCTTCCAGGATTTCCATAAACTTCTATTATCCAGGGTTTATAACTGAATCATTTAAAGCCTGAGCAGTTATTTTTGTGCATGACATAACTTGATTTTCTTTTTAAACTTTTTACATTTCTCCAAAGAAACAAGGGTCAGTAACAGATTACTGTCATTTTCAGTTACCCTTCAGCAGATACAAGCAACAAATGTTTTATAAGTACAGGGTGCACTACTGTAAGTGCCATTACAAATTTTTAAGAGTACTGCAAGTATCTAAAGTAAGAGCTCCTTCTTTGGACATATACAAACCTTGAACCAGACAAACAGCTGGATCCAAACCTAAATATGTCAAGAAGCAAACTCTGGCCCAAAAAGATGTAATCAAATGGAAACTCTATGGCACTTACAAACAGAAAATGTGTTATGTAATAAATCCCAAACTGAACAACAGTTAAGTGAGATTAAATGCACAAAATCATCATCCAGAAATGAGAAATTACAATTTAAAGACAGGGAAAGGAGAAAACCTCAAGAACAAACAAACAAGAAAATTACATGCCTGACAGCAATTTGTAGTACTTTGTGTTTTCTTCATCACAGAAATATATTAGAAGGAACTCTGCCACCTCTCCAGCTGAATAAGCTCACTCCATAGCATCTTCACAAGAACTCAAATATACATAACACAAATATTTCTTTTGATTCATTAACAGCAATACTGACATGCATATCAGCACCAGCTTCAATATTTCCTTTGCAGTAAGCATGTGACATTAATAGTCAAATAGTGACCTTGCAGATTTCCTCTCAAGGTACACTATCTCCAGTTCTTTTACAGAATATTTTCTGAATTAAAAAATCCTGTTACTTTGAGACACAATTAGCTTTTAAGTAAGCCTAATTAACAGAGTAACATTCCAAAAAGTCAAGAAATTAGCCAGTGACAGGGGGAGGCAGTCCCACTATAAAAAGGAACAAGCCTAACAACCTAATTGGGACAAAATTAACCAATGTGACACCATGTGACACACTACATCAGTGTAAATACCATGTGTGTTGATAGATGTTTATTCTCATTCAAACCCTTTTTGAATAAAAAACATGCAAGATCTATATACAAGAAATCCACTGATTGGATTTCTGCATGTACTGCTGGGTTGCATCTACTTTACAAGTTCTTGCCTCAAACACTGCAGACATTCAAGGAAACAGTAATAAGTAAGTGAATAAGTAAGTGAATAAGATGTAAACATGCTCAAGGACAGAAAAGATCCCCCAAAGCAAAATCATTACATCTTGTTTGCTTTCTTCTAACATCAGTGCCCCTTTCCTGTGTGTATTTATCACTATCAGCATTCATATTCCATACTAGTAAAACCATATTATTAAATAATTCAGCAATTTTTATTTTACCTGTGTTAGCAGCTTTTCTTTCTCTTCAGTTTCCTCAGTATTCAGAGGCATAGATTCATCTATCTTCTTTTGTTCCTCTTTTTGTACCTGAGCTGCATTTGGGAGGTCAGGATTCCGGGGAACCTAAAATCAGGGTTATCAATAAGCAGTAGTGCAGCAATATTGTTAAAGATACTGTACATTTTCCTATAACCTTGGTTTACAGTTTCTAAGTACATGCTAGATCTCATAGGACCAATGTTCTGTCAATTGGGTAGTTCAAACCCACTGAACACTTGCTGTCACAGAACAATAAAACGAAGCCCAAACAACAAAAAACCCCCCACCCCACACCTTAGCAATCCTCAAGAAACTAAACCACAATAAAAAACTAACTACCAGAATATTTTCATTATTACCTACAAAACTGTGATAAATTGCAAATATTATTCTTCATGACAAGGTGATACATTAAATAGTCATTTATCTATACTTATTTCTTGTCTCACAAGCTCTTAATGTAAAGTTTATCTTCACCTGTAAGTAACAAAAGAGTCCTAGTCACTTTTTCTTTAAGAAACTTAGTGAAAAAACACTGGAGAATAAATGTAAATGGTAAAATACATGTTTTCCAATTATTAAATCACTAATCTGTACAACAGTTACCAGATGTGTTTTACCTAGATTCAAATCCTGTTGCTTAATCCCTTCTTCCCAAAAACAAGACTAGATTTTGTCAACTCTATGTCATAATTTCATGCCCTGTACCCACCCACCACCATTTAAGAATATTGTGAGAGGCAGAGCCCCACCTAGCGTGAGCTGTCACAGTTCACTGAGTTCAGTGGCACTTTTCACGAGCTAATGTTTTATAACTAGAGTGAAATACTAAGTTCTGCCAGATTTGCTCTGCAGCTATTCACATTGCCCAAGTAAGGACCAGATAGACAACATTATGTAACAAGGCCTAGCATCAGGCCTCCTATTCTTCTCCACGTTGACACAGATTTAATACTTGTGACCTTTAAACTGTGTACTGCAATTCCATACCACACAACTGCAAACAAGTCAAAAAACCAGTAAAGATTTTGTAGACCTTGTGTATTTCTACAGCAAAAAGTAAAGGAAGTCAAGAGCCATTTTTAACATCTGGCTAAGAAGTTTTCTGGGCTTCGGTGGTTTCTGTTAAGAGTGAGACAAAGCTTGGTCTCTATTTGATACTGATATTGTTTATGGCAGTCTTCAGGTTTAACAACAAACTCTCTTCAGATGCAAAGTTATACTTCCAAGCTTAATCACATTTATCACTTTCACCAGCAGCACAGTCACACTAAGTTTTTAACATAACAAATATTCATGTTCAGCCTATCCAGGCTGACAGATCTTGTTAACAGGATTGAAACACCTTTCTTTTCACTCACATATTGTCAACATTAGCAATTCCATCCTTATTTGGTGAAGCACTAATCGAATAATTCATTTCCCTAAACTAATTATACTTCCTTTAATTCATATCTTAATTCTATCCTAGCATCCACATAAAATTCTTTGTGCTTCAGACTAGATTTTTTATGTTTTTGCAACACCCATGTCCTGTCATTGCTTTGTGTGACAAGCTGATGTTCTCCAACACATTTTATACATGATTTCTTCTTGCTGCAACCCACCATGAAACATGGGACTTTTTAAAGTAAGTTACATGTCTGGAAGCAGGGGATCCATTTGATTTACTCCGCCAGTGCTGGCACAGATAATGAAAACCAACAACAAAACAGAATCTGTGTTCACTGCTTCTCCAGTTATGTCAGC